CGTATTGCCATTTTAATCAGATCGCATTTTTAAATTATTTAGTGGTGTTGACACATTCTTGAAGGACATAAAAATATGTGTGTGCTCCAATAATTAAAAAAAATCCTTAAATTTAGCGTTTGCAATTCCGTTACTTCCGAAGAGAATTTGAAATTGAAAATTGCTTGGGGTGCTGTATGACACCCCACGTGACCAATAAGGGTTAAGATACATGGAAATTAAATTACAATTAGCACCTCTAAATGACAGAAAACACAAAAAACACTTGTACACACAGAAATATATACTGTAAATAAACATTACTTATAAGTATTTTATAAATTTATATATTCGCAAATCTATTACGAGTTCATAAACATCAAATTTCTTTAAGGTTATATTTAGAATTCTAAGTTCTTGGATTTAATCCAAAAATATGAAATTAAAACAAAAATTCGGGATATTTACTACATAGAACTGAATCAACTTCTTTTTAGATGAAATACTTCATCTAAAAATTCCGAGACCACGTATAAATCCACGACGCTAATTTACGCGGACGCTTGTGTTGCTCTTTGGGTGCCAGTTATCGTTGAACGCGAAACGTGATCGGCGATAGATGAGAAGTAATGAGCGGAATTCTATCTGATTTTTCATTGTCCGCCTTTTGGCACGCTGATCGTCGTTCCTCAGTTATATTGATAATGTCGCAAGTGCGTTACGTATTCCATGCGACGTGATAACCGTGTGTTTATACGCACAATTTTCACCTTGATTGAAGATTCTTATGAATCATTCTTTGGGGGATTAAGTCTTATCTCAACAACAACAAAGAGCTTTTCAGCTCAGTCTACTGTTGTCGATAAGAGAGCTCCTGTAAAAATGCACTCTAAGTGCAAACTGCTCAAAGCGATATATAAGACACTCTCTCAAAAGGAATCAGTACAAATATTTCTCAATCTTTCTTGAATCAATAAGAGTACTGTTATTTCATGATAACCAGTAAATATTTCATGGTATCAGTGAGTACTGATTTTCAACGGCAACACTTCCACTTTATCAAAGAGTATCAGTATATTTTCTTTCCAGCTTACATAGCCAACATGAGGGAGTTGGTTTATAATTATATTCCTTAACTCCATACATTCATTCATTCCTTATTTCTACCTACTAATTACTAATATACATTGCCTCTCTCTAATTGACTTTATAATATCATCCTCGTTGCATAAATACTCTTGTATTCTTTTTATTTTCTACTTCAGCTTACAATGTCAGGAAGTTCTTTAATTTTTACCTTCTCCTTATTTTACATTTTTCCTACACTTCCTTTCTTCTTTTCCTTTTCGCCACTTATCCTATTTAACTTAACCTATTCCTTTTCCTTTTACCTTTTTTACTTATACTAGATATTTCTTAACCTATACTTTGGCAAATTCTATCTTTTGGATTTCTTACCTATACTTTCGGAGGTTTGCCATGTCTTCCGAGAGGAGTGCGAGCGTACGAAAAACTTTCCGTTCCTCTGGGAAACGAACGTATAAATACTCTTGTAATCTTTTACAGTCTTCTACAGTAATTTGCACCTAACCTTTGCACTACATCTTCTTCCTATCCATCATGTTTAATTATACTTTCTTATTTTATTCAACGGGTAATATATCGTTTTCGTTCATACTCCAAATTCTGTTTTTTCCTTCAACTACACATCTATTCCTTTATCTTTCCTCTTCCTATCCGATTTCTTCACTGCTCCCCTTTATCTATATTTTCTTTTTCTCCAACTTTCTATATGTTTCTTTTAGCTTAAAAAAAAGCATCACTAAAAAAGAGTTTTCCATATTCCATGAACTTTCTCTTATTCTTTGCACTTTCTTCTTCCGTATCTCTTTATTTTACTTTTTTATCCGATGATTAAACCAAATTTTTCCTTTTCATTTCTTATATCTTTTTCTCCCTCCGTTCCTTTTATGTACTTCTATTTTCTATTATAAGGTACCTCGATAACTTCTCTACATTAATTTAATAATGCTTGCCTGCATTACTTTAACTACTCATTCCTTGCGACGCTATAACTTCTATTATCTATGCACTTTTTTCACTTGCGGCAATCCTGTTTTCCTACCTAACGTCTTGTTTCGCCTTCACTTACACATTGTCTATGCATTCATTCCTACATAATTTCCCCGATCTGATCTCCCATACTTAACTCAATACACTAAAATTATTCTAAACTCATGCACCATGTTAACTAAGCATTCACACGTACTAACTAAATCCCATAACATTTCAGTGAAGAACTGGTTGTACTTTAGAGAGTGTCTTATATTTTTCTTAAGTGTAAAATTAGCCGACCTATGCTATCTGGTCGCGAATAATCGATTACCGTAGACGGTTTTCTCACTCGATTTCTATTTCTTCCTTTACCGGTCAGCTAAATAAACTCGATAACTGAGGCTCTATTCAGATCATATTTTTCCAGTACTGTGAATTAGATCTTTGGAATATGGTTTGGTAAACTACAAAAAAGAGAAATGAAAAAATCGCTGCAATGGAATTAACAGTCTATCGCGTATATACATGTTACATTTCGAAAAAAAATAGCGCTGTCGCTTTTCGCGTTAATTTTCAATTACGGGGCATCGCCACAGTCGTAATGCGGAGTTCGTGGCTGATAATCAGCAGCGCGGAGTGCTCGTTGCTGTCTAAATATAGAAGCGACTGTACACGTTTATGCCGTCGTTAAGAGCACAGGACTTATCTGCCGGATAGTAGCCGGACATTGTCTTCAATTTAATGAGTCGGCTCATGTAGTAGCCCGCAATTTCAGCGTTCTCTCATTGTCAGCTCCGACGGAAATCAAACGATAATAATATAATACCCGATTTGATGCGCGCTTAGTGTGGATTTAATTCGCGCGCAAATGTCAAGCACGTTGCGCGGTCGGTTCTCTTTGACCGTTTGGCTTTATTATCGAGGTCGCGGCAATTGTTTCCCGATATCGAGCGCAATATGAGTGTAATTAGCTGACCGCGATCGTAAACGGAAGGAAAAGAAAGTAATTAAGCGCGAACTCGATACAAAGACCCAACTTTACATGCACCAAGTACATTCACTAAGAGCAGGCATCGTTTTCGCACACATACGCGAATCGTGATTCACAACTTACTGCGGGTGTATATATCTTCTTATGTTGTGGTATTGTGTATAAAATCGATGACCCAGTTCGAAATTGGACCGACTAAAAATTTCTTATTTCGAGGAGGCGTATCAGAAAAAAAAACGAGCATTCATGTTTGGAAAATATTTTCATTTTTGACATGTTAATCTTTAAATAACGTAGCGAAGAAAAGTTACTTGCAGGATTACATTTTATGATTTAACGAAGAAAACTCGGTTCTTATTGTTCAAAAATAACTGGCCGTATGCGAGAATGATCCAACTCGCATGAAGTACGTTTTGAGAAAAATGAGGATGAAAATTTTATACATAATTTAAAAAGTATAAATAGTATTAAGATTTTTTGCAATCGTTAAAAAAAAAAGTCAAGCATGGTCAATTTTCTTCTCTTTAAGGTATACATTGACAAGCTTAGCCCTTACAAAATGGATAAAAAAGATGTAACTAGTAGAAAATAAAAACTGTTTTTTAATTAATTTTAGGCGCTCAAAAGGGTTGTATGTTTTTCATCATATGTAGAAACACATATATAGATTATCCATTGTTAACAAAAACTCAAAAATCATAATTTTATTGGTTCGATAATTCTTGCATAATTATGACCACACTGTAAAAACTGATGTGTTAAATTTCATATCATATGTCCCAAGTCATCTATTCTCATTTATGTGTAAATTTAACACAAAACAAGTGTGATAAAAAGTAACACGCATAAATATGGAAAAAATGAACACAAGAATTTAACATTTGAATACTATCAGGAGTCACAGTTTGTGTTAAGTTGACATATGTATAATGTTAAATTAACTAAAATAAAACGTTACTTTAACATTTGAGAGAAATATTAATCTATGGTTTTGATAAAATGAAAATGTTAAATTAACATAATCTATATCTGACATTTTAAATATGTCAATTTAACACAACCTGTGATTCCTAACGTATTCAAGTGTTAAATTCTTGTGTTCATTTTTTTCATATTATGCGTGTTACTTTTTAACACATTTGTTTTGTGTTAAATTTACACATAAATGAGAGTGGATGATTTGGGACACATAAAATATGTTACATTTAACACATCAGTTTTTACAATGCAATTTTCATTAGTGAAAAGCATAAAATATTGGATATAATGTTTTGAGGATATAATATTTTTAAATATCGGAAAAGAATACTATTATTATCAAAATAATCATATTGTGCTTCTTTGTGAGACTATTATAATATTAAAATAAAACGATTGTTGAAATTCAGGACTTAAAAATTCTTTTGATAGAATTATATATTATTGTTTATATATGGAACATTGATTGTTAATTGGAGTATATTAGTTGCAAGTACTAATCTTTTTTTCTGTACAAGTTCATTAAAGAGTATGTAAGCCCGTTTTTCAAGTCGTTCGTTTTTTTACCGCTCGAGTCCATTGGGAACTTTTCTGCGAAGAGATCGTCGTCGGTATTGTTTACAAAGCGGCGTGCGCGACATTTATTTTCACAAATCGCGCCTATACTGCGCACATGAAAACGATACTACGACGTACGTGCGGACGTATACTACGGCTGGCCGTTCGCCAAAGCTTATCCTTGAGCATTCACTTTTCTTCCACCCGAGTGTCTGGCATTCATAGATATGCAGAAGGTTCCTCGCGCGAGATTGACTCATCTTCGCGTTATCATCTTCGCGTTTCCCCTTCTGCCGTCCGATAGCCGGCTGATTCGTGACGCGAATTTTTTCGTTTTTTGCTGCGTGGGAGTGATAACTGCGGCGCGACGTAATATTTTCCGTCGATCTCGAGGAGACTGGGAGGAGACTGATAAAGCGCATTCTCTTTTGTTTTACAGGAGGCCGAGTTGTTAGACAAGAGCAGGGATTGGATTTACGAATGGAGTTCTCGACCGGATCAGATGCCACCAAAGTACGTAAAATTCAGATCCTCGAAACGACATGGAACTGTTGACCGACTATGGAAAGTTTCCGACGCGTAAAAGATGCACTCAAGTGCCTTTTGTTGCTGGCTCGTTAACGTATTGTAGAACGTTAATATAACCTAACCTAGCAGCGTAGTTGAGCGAATGAGCTCGTTTGAAAGAGACATGCTCTGTATTTGTCTTGTACACATGTGTATTGAGCTTCTCCAGTGGTTTGCGGTTGCAATATGGCCCTATTGTGTGTTGCAGAGACTGGAAATTCAAGCACCCGTTGGGTATGGGCAAGAGAAAAACGTACAGCATTCGCACGGCGAAGGTCGGGAAGAACGGCTTGTTTTCCAAGGAAGTCATCTACACCCTATTCTTCACGAACTTCTTGTCTCTGCTCATTGGGACCGGTCTTGGGTACGTGACGCTTCAGAAAACACGATATCGTAATCTATCATCGTAATTGCCGTGTCTCTTTTACTCTCAAGACGTTAATTGGATTCGTCTATTTTATACGCGTGATTAATTATAACTGGCAATTAGTCGCGCATCGAGGTGTAACCGTGAACAATTGTGTAATTATTCACTGGCAGAATCGTGCTGTAAACATGAATCTCGTTTCGTTTTGTTGCAGTGTCCTACTCACCAGGCGGGGTCTCTTCATGTCCCGCGTCGCTATCGAGTAAAGGATACGATTGGGAGTGTCTGCATCGGATTGGTCACGCTTGAGCGGAGAGAAGGGCCGGTTATGCGAGATGCAAGAAAGACTGAACATGCCGGTGGGCGATCGAGCCTAAAACAGAGAACACGCAGCACATAATTCGATTGTCCCGATTTAATATTAGCACTTTGTATTTTACTCCCTTTCCCTCCTCCCCTAATTATACAGTGTACTTCTCAGATATTGCGTACTATGCAAGTAATACGCATTATATGCTTAGGAAGGAAAAGTTAAAGAAAACGTGGAGAAAAGAAAGATAGGAGCAAATGGAAGAAAGAAAGAAATAGAAGAAGAATAAGAGGAATCTATTGTAGTCTATAAAATGTTGCAGGAGCAAGAAGAATGTGAACGAAACATGTCCATTTTATACCGTTTCTAATGCGTTTTTATCTGCGATAGTTCGTAGGCATAGCTTGAATAATATTTATCAGAAAAACTAATTATATATTACTTGTTAGAACGGAAAGAAAGGAACGAGAGAGAGACTGAGCGAATGTGAATGCGAGAGAACGAGAGCGTGTGTTTATTGCATGGATACGTGTGTGATGATGAGAAGGAAAGCACGAGGAAAGTGAAGGAGTGAGCGTGGTTAAAAGACGGCACGGGTAAAAAGAAAAGAAAAAAAAAACAAAAGAATCATGATTGCCCGGAGATGAGGGCGATCCCGGAAACGCTGGACGACTCGTCCTCTTCATGCGGATTGTCGCGTATGACTCTTGCGTCGAACAGTATGTAGAGACGTAGAAATTTTTGTCGTGGGAATGAAGAGGAACGTATGTCGTGAATTCTCTCCCTGAGAGAAATCCGAAACGATCGAGCCACAGCAGCAATAGCCACCGTGTATCGCGGTTTTCTTCTTTCGAATTATTGCGCGACGCCTCTCAATGATGAATCTACCGGGAGAATTAGAATGTGATAGTTCCTACAGAGGAAGTGTCGACGTCGACGACCCTCTCTCGACGTCGAGGCAACCACAAGCGGGCAACCGGGAAAAAGAGGGACCACGAGGATGTGCGAGCGTGCGGGCTCGCTCACGGTTGAACAGCAAGACGGTTTCGGTGCGGCGTTTTTCTACGATATATATCTTAATTATATCAGCATTTTGTAATTTTCTTGTAATAAATTCACACATAGAGCGATACGGACAGCGGATCCGTAAGAATGCGTTTCATAGGCTCTTACTAATACTCTATACTTGAAGGATATCGTCCCACGTGAGACGCTCAAATCTGAGCTAGATTTTAGCTTTTTATTTGGATCATACAATATATATACGCGAATATATATATATATATATATATATATATATATATATATATATATATTCAAATCAGATATATATATATATATATATGTATATATATGTATATATATGTATATATATGTATATATATATATATATATATACACATGTATATATATATATACACTTGTAATCGCGACTCAGCTGAAGAACTCTTATCTACATTCAAGTCTAAGGTTCGTATTAATAGTCGTTACTTGAAATTCATCCTACGTGAAATACTCAAATCTGAATTTAGAGTTAGATGAGTTTTTTTATTTGAATTATATCACACATGTAAAATTACATTTGCAATCGCAATTTAGCTGAGAAACTCAGATCTAACTCTAAATTAAAATCTGAGTGTCTTACCTGAAGCAAGTTTTAAGTAATGACTATTAATACAGGCCTAAGTATCTCGCCTGAGACAGGTTTCAAGTAGCGACTATTAGTACAGAGTCATAATCCGCAATTGTTCAGTCAAGACGGTCGACCCAGCCACGACGCGACTATCGACTATATCTCCGAGGTTTTTCTCGGGCAGCAGGTGTCCGAAAGATTCGCTCGAACAAGTTTCTCTTTTCAAGATCATGAAAATCCGACTCGCGCGTCGCGAAACAACACGCTGTTTGTGTCGGTGGCCGCTTTAACGCGTTTGCTACCGCTTGGAAATTCCCCCTACAGTTCCTAATCCCGTATTCTTTTTATCGTTTGAAAACAGATTTGCTGATACTTCATACTTGAAGCAGAAAGACTCGGTTTATCGCGTGGACATTAAAGGGTAAATTCTCGCCGTCACGCCGATGTGACGCCGGTTTCTCATGAAAGAGATCGCCGTGTCACGCGTGTGTGACGCCGGTAGCCAGCGTGTTAAGGGAACGATTGTTTGAGTCCTGTGCGTTTTTCGACGAAGAAGTTTGGCGAATCCGTGCGAGAATCCCTGGCATGAATCCCTGGCATGAATGTGTGGTGCATATGGTTCGCTTTCGGCAACGGAAGTTTTGTTCTCGCGCGACGGCGGAGTGATGCTCTTGGAGTTTGTATTCTGGTATTTTGTACTTTACACGCGAGGAACGGCACGGAGCGATCGAATCACGAATTACTCCGGGTCCACGATAGATGTACTAAGTCTTAGCCTTGTGCTCTACGGCCTTTGTGATTTCTGATGAAAAGCGTTTCACGCGCTGAACAATTGGAATCTGATTAACGCTCTTGAGGATTATGACTTCAGGTAGCGGTGGAAAATGTTTGTAGTCGAAAATTATGCCGCAGTTTTGGGCTTAGATTGTAAGGCTCTTTAAAGGTTTACTACACCTATTGTAGACTCATTCGTCGAAGCTGTGTACGCAAGTGTAATCGCAATATGGTTCTTTTGGATTTCGATCGGTGATGGGCAATCGATCGCACATGTTTAGTAGTGATGTAGGGACTAATTTTCTCAATGCGCACGGTAGCAATTGCGCGCTCGCCAATTTCGTGACTCTCAGCAAAATCGGCAAACGCGACCCCCCCCTCTCCCCCCGATGTTTTGTGAATTGACAGATTCTTTTTCTGCGCTCCTTGGCTAAGTCGCGTTATTTAATTTACGGCAATGATATTCAGCGTGTTTTTTCATAAGTGATTATTTTGTAATACTGTCTGTATGTCATACGCATAATAATAATAATATTCCGTACGCATTAGTGGCGTTGGTGACTCTTTGGCGTTTAGCGGGCGCTCTCGATCCTCTTTCGACCGATGTCTCTCTGCGGAGGGTGTCTCCGCCGCGTATCTTCGCTAAACTCGGAAAGCTCCAGTCGAATGATTTATACAAGCGCTACGAAATAAAGAGTTTTGTAAATTGATAATCACGACGAGGTATTGATTCTTTTGTAAGCGCTCGTTGTTGCAATTTGTCGCGATACACAGCGCGCTGCTGGTCGCTGTTGACGACTTGACGCGCGAATTAACCGCGTGAAGCGATCTGAGTGTTTGAAACAAATACATTTCGCCGCGGTTGGACGCGTGGGCAATTTCAGCGCCGCAAATAGCGCACACACGAGCCGAGAAAAATGGATTTAACCACTTCCCTGTTAGCCAGAGTAACGAAATAACGCCGGAAATGGGACGCGGGTCGAGCAGATTTTCACCTAGAGCTTCTCACGAGATCTCATAACCCTGCAATCAGGAACGCACACGCGGGAAGAAACTGATCCCACTTTCACCCGAACATGTCGGACAACGAGTCGATTGATCAGCGTGAGAAAAATCTTAAGGTTTTCGTGCGAGTTCTGCCGCTCGAGAAACCGTGCGATTGTTGCGCAAAAATTAGCGCGGATTGTAAGGTGAGATTTCAGCGAATTTCTCTCTGATGTTGTAAATCTACAGGTGCTTCAAACGTTCGCGTATTCATGGTCAGCTGAAAAAGATACGGCTCTGTGTATTGTAATGTAGAATTTAGGATTTTTAGCTTATTTCTTTTTTTTCTCTAACATAAGTGTGTATTATTTCAGACGTTCTTCGTGAGATGTCTGCAAAGTGCACGACGAGGTAGAAAGTCGGCGTATCCTGTCTACTGGGCTTTTCCGACCAATGGCATATTTCATGAAGCGTCGCAGGACAGAGTGTATCGCGCTACCGCGAAGGATCTTCTGGAAAAGTACTGAAAAATAAAATAAATACCAAAACCGGCACTTTTCGGAGAAAAGCATCGGTCCACGTCATAAAGTTGTCATCACTCTGTACTATGTCGGCGATAGAGAGTTAATTATTGAAGTATTTTGCTCCTTGGTATGACAACGAGTTCACTTTGTCTTGTATATGGAGAGAATATTACAGTTTTCATTTCATATAAATTTTTTGCAATTTTTTTATGATTTTAGTAGTACAGCAATGCACTAATAGTAAAGTTTATCTTGCTAAGGAACGTATTAGTCTTGACTGAAAACAACTAATTTTTTAATAGCACGTTTAAATTCCTAAAATATAAATAGCACTTAAATTTAAAAGACAGTTATTGCAAGATGTCGATTCATCGTTTGGTTACAAAATTTTATAGCAATTTTTACTATGAGATTTTCTACGCGTGCATTTTAATAAATGGGCAACATAAGAGTTATATATATTGATTGGATAATGATCAATGTCGCCGATGGAGTAAGAGGTGCGCGACGTATCGCCTGTAAAAACTGTTGAATAAAGCGGCACGTGCAATAAACATAATGCGGAAATGGTTTAAGAGTTTTAGGCGGCGTAAATTGCGTGCTGATCAGCTACGGGCAGACCGGGTCCGGGAAAAGTTTTACGATCGGCGGTCTTAGGAACGACTGGAAGGTATGAGGTATCTCCTGCTCTCGAGTTTTTGCCGCTCACTCGGCTGATCGTTTGGTCTAATTTGCCCATTAACCCTCGTCGGTCGCAGCACAGAGGGATAGCTGCGCGGCTCCTGTCCGACATGTTCGCAGTGAAGGCGAATCGACGAAAGGTCAATGACATATATTACCGCCTAAGCTTCGTTGAGTTGAGAGGCAAAAACGTGATTGATCTTCTGACGGCGCGAGAGCCGAAGATCGTGAACGTCCACGTCAAAGACGTCTTTGAGGTATCGAGTCGCTTCGTTATGAAAGTCGTCCGGTGATGGCGCAGACACGATGAAAATCGTTGCAGTTGTGATTGCAGAATATCACCGTGGCGGACGTGAAGAGCGAGCCGGAAGCCTTGAGGAGATTATTCGAGGGAGAAGCGAGGAGATCGACTGTAACGGGCGCCACGTATCCGGTGTCGCACTTGGGTGCAGCCGTGATCACTTTTCACGTGTCGAATACGAGCTTGATTATATCACAGGCGGTCGTAGCGGTAGCAAAAGTAAATTGACAGCTTCAGTTCTCGTGAAAGTTTGTCTTCGAAATTTGAGAGGGATCTGTTAGTATGCTGAATTATTCAAGAGATACGCAAGTATCTCGAATAATCTCTTAGTATTATGTGTGAGGCAAATATTTGAAATATAATATTTGCTAGACATTTCTCATTACGAGTCACGACGTATTAGATACACATCATAGAGATGGCTGGAATTGGCACGGTGGGAAAGTCGAGTTGCTCGAAAACGGCTAGCGACGTGGGTATGGCGAATTTGATGAAAACCCAACTGGAACAGTACTTCTTGTATCTTCGAAAACCAAGTGCCTCGACATACAGTGTCGCTCGCTCGAGCTTGTCGAGACTGTTGAAGAACGAGTTCACTGTCACATCTGTCATCCGGTAACTATACTGAGAAAAAAATATTTGAAAATTTATTTATAGAATATAAATTTTATTTAAAGTAATATGCGTAGGAAGAATACAGTGAGAAAAACACACTTGCAAATTTATTTGTGAGATATAAAGTTTATTTCTGTAAAATAAACTTATCGCATAAATAAGTTCTCAGGTATTTTATCTCAGAAAATATTTTTCCCCACAAGTAAATTTTCAAATATTTCTTTCTGTGAAATAAAGTTTATTTCTGTAAAAGAAACTTTCATCCCACAAATAAATTTTCAAGTATTTCTTCTCAGTGTACGACTTTCTATCATTCGAATATCGCAATAAATAATTTTGCAGCAATCGCAAACGAATTAGAACGAACGAATTAGAATAAAATCACGGAATGTCAGTGCGTCTTATAATGTATCGCGCGACGCATCATTTAATCGTTAATTTAAAAGCATTGATCTTCACGTCAGTTTCATATCTCACGTTCGCATCACAAAGGAAGATCTCGTTGTGACTTTGTCGACTATGCGACTGACCATGGAAATCGCAAAACTAAGACCGATCAAGACAATACGGCACATTCAGCCGCAGGCGGAGCTGATCCTGCAGCAGCTGCGAGAGGAGGTAAATGCGCTGAGGAAAGAGCTGCAGTTGAACGATATGTTCCTTCAGCAAGAAGCGCTGATGAACATCTCGAAAACGAGGATCGAGCAGATCGGACGGGATATTATGAACTTTCTGAAAGGTTCCATCTCGGAATTGACACTCTTCAATGTTTCGCAAGCGCAGATATTGGTGAAAATCATTAAGCAGCTGTACAACAAGTTCGTATCCTCGATTTTTAGTTAAAGTGACGTTTTCGAATTTTTTTAATATTTCACCCGATACTCAACGAATCGCTGTCTTTTCTGATAAGCACAACGTTTTAATTAGCAGCAAGAAATTGATAATCACAAATATGATATTTTTGGAATATTTTAGATTAGTTGCAAAAGAAGAAGTTGAAGAGAAGTTAAGCGAAGCGTACCATGATGTAATGAGCTCGTTGATGCCAGCAGACACTACTTCGCTTGCGACATTGTCACAAGTACTTGAATTATATGGTGATACGTATAATTTTATTAAAAAAATATACATTCTTTTGTTAAATCAAATTGCATGCTGAAATATGAATCGCAGCAAATGCTGAATTATTACAGAACGCTGAAACGCACAGCGCAGTCGACTCGGATTACGATCGTAACGAAGACGAAGACATTACGTCAGAAATTACGTCAAAAAGCACCGACGACAAAATGACAGTAGAGCAAGTAGGAATATTAAGTAAACACGGCATCTCATTGGGACCTGTTTTGCAAGTGGACAGCATCACAATAGGATTAAAATGTCCGACAGCACTAAAGGCGGTTTCGGATAATAATGAATTGCAAATGACCGAACTTACATATGGATGCGCGGACAAAGCGAGAAGAATGTTTCGTCAGTTGCAACGAATGATGGAGCGCAAATTCGAAGTGAGAATGCAGAACGGCTTTACGTGTTTTAAGCGACTCGTTTTCCATACTGATTGCTATACAAAATTTTAAAACGACAGTACACTTGTATAGAGTATATATATTAATGGTATCCACTATTTTCACCAATTACAATAACCTGACAGTCAATTAATCGGTTTTTAAACAATGATAAAAGGCAACAATAAAAATTTCAGAAACATTCTTTTGTTTTGTAAAAAATCAAGGTTATCTCTATTTTTTTTTAATGGAACCATATATTTTTTATTCATAATGTAAAGAGAATACAAAACTTAATAATTCATGATGTTGCCTTTGTTGTTATTTCACAGCAAAAAAGGATAGTAAAATAATAATTTCAATAAGAGTACAAAAGTAGTAAAACAGTAAAAGAAGAATTTCAATAACGTATAAGTATGCAAAACTATAACTTGTAGAAATAAACATGTCTATTTCAAATTATTTTAATTTATTTCAACAGACATGTCCTAAGCACTTAACATTATTCACTACATCTTGTATTCCAAACATTATCTTATCTTCTGTCTGTATTTTCACAGTTAAGGCTGCCGGAATTTTTTCATTAAAAAAGTAATTTTTTTTCTCAAAAATTTTTAAGTAACATAGACGTGGCGCAGAATCTTGAGATTTGTGCAAAGCCACAAAAGTAGCTTTTCCATCAACCTAAAGGTTAAATATTAGTAAAAATAACATGAATTATATCATTGAATTTGTTCTGATCCTTTTTATAATATTACAGATAAAAAAAATTTCCATTCTATTTAAAGAAGTGAAAGTAATTTTGATTTTTCTTACAAAAAAGAACGTTTTCGAAACGTTTATTATCGCATTTTATTGCCGTTTAAAAACTGATTAATTGTATTTAAAATTTTTTTCTAACCGATTATTATAACTAGTAAAAATAATGAATATCACTACGTTGAACATCCTATTATATATATAATATATTTTCTTATCATTAAACAATTTACATCATGGCACTTTTGAAATTTCATATATTTCTGGACAAATCGCATAGGAGGATATGAGTGCTCTAATTTTTCGATGTTTGTGTCTTATTACAGGAGAGACACGGAAGAAAGAAAACACCGTACGCTTGTGTGGTTTCAAACGCGAACGATAATTACTTTACAACGATCCACAATATTAAGGAGAATATTAAAACAATAGAAATACCTCGTAACGATTCCCAGCATATGTCACAATGTTACGACAATAAAATCGCACGATAAACTGATTTAACACTTTGACCTCCGGATTCACTGGTTATTCTTTTACGATTGACGACGAATTAATTAACTCTCGGTTGTTGGCCAATTTGTATGCCGTCGCTGTTAAACTATTTTCAGTCAATATTTCCATGAGGAGGATCGCGTTTGTTGTAAACATTCATCTACCAAGGTCTCCTTCCAGCATCGCGAAAACACAGGAGAAAAAGAGAGAAAATAAGGAAGAAGAAGAGAGAAGATTCGTCCCCCAGTTTTCCATCAACTGTCGAAGCGTTCAAACAAGTAAAGACACAGTTCGAATAAGAGTATATATTTACATCTGTCAGGACGACCAACGACGTATTGGATGACTAATGTCAGTCATACTTCGTCAGTTCATTTACTTGTGTGTTCGTTTATTGCGTGTTGCTGTAGCAATTATTACGCAATTATTCTTTAAATTATCTTTATTCTTTATTATCTTTAAATTATTTAATATTCTTTAATTTATCTTTTGTAATACGTACTGTACATTACTGATATAAAATGTCTTCTAAACCTTACGTAGGATGCTTCATATCGAGGATGCTCAACTGTATGCGGACCTCTTACAACGAATTGCAAAGGTTTGTTTCGTTGCTCGCCCGACATTTACACTAAATGGCTAATTTAGTTGTGCCGTACAATAAATATTACGTAAACTCATGATGTATAGGTAATTTTTAAGTGACGCGTTTTGAGGACTCTTATGTCTACTTTTGAAAAGATCTCGAAGCTGTAATTTACGGAAACTATTAAATTATAGGATAATTCGTTTTAACGGACACAACTTCGACGACCTCGATATTGTCGAGAACATCCTTCTGAGTATTTTTCGGAAGGCTTTCAAGCTGGTTGGAGCTCTGTGTCTGTTGAAACGAATAATTATCTCCTTCTGCATTGGGCAAACATCGCATTTCGCTTTAAGTGCACTCAGCCAGAAATGATTCATTTCGACGTAGCTGATGTCGAAAGTTGTCGATTCAAAGTTTGCGTTGATATTTCGAAATTTTTTTTACAATGAAAGCTTGCATATATTGAGTTTTAATGGGATATTTAATGGGAGTTTAACTTATATTTTAATATCTTATATATTTCATACAATTTCATATAAAATTTTTCGTTAAAAAATCGTATCGACATTATTTTGATGTTGTTTGAATATTTGATCTTTGTAAGTATGCAGCAGATCTATCAGGCATTATCGTCTGACATTTTATATATGTAACTTATTATCTTATTAACTTCTTATCTTCTTATCTCCTTATTAACTTCTTATTCGGAAATGCTAAAATTTCAACACAAATTCTGAATTGACAACTCGACGACATCGAAATGAGGTCGTTTCGATGAATTATTTCTGGCAGAAGGATTAAGTAAACTTTGTGACTCATACGTGGAATTAATTGCGGTCGGTTAGCACAAAGTAGGGAGTAAAGACAGGCGAGAGATTTCTAAAGTGTCCTAAGAATAAAGTAGATACATTTCTAGATTTTGTACTTACAAAATGTGATACAAACATGTGAAAGGTGAAAAAAAAATATAAACAGCTATAAAGTAAAAGAAATAGAGAACATCGATAGATCTTTCGACGGTTCTGTTTATCGTATCATAGTAATTATATGTATGATGTTGTCCTTTTATTCTAGCATATTACTGCTCGGGAAGATTGAGCAATGGGAAGCCATAAATGACAAGGAGTTTCAGGTAAGAATCGTCGCGAACGATAACTATGAGAACGTGTTTGCAGAATACGTGATTTCTGCTTGTGTGTTTCTTATTAGACGACGAACGAAGGTGAGAGCTTTGATTATTTCTCGAAGGAAGGCGAGAAATATCTGAGCATGGCGCATAATTTACGTGAGAAGAACTCCAAGCTATTTCCGCGTGTACTGAAGGCGCTGGACAATTTCACAAGGGTGAGTTGACATTTGATTGTAATAAAATCGAATTTGTCGTGAGATCTTGGGCGAAAGTGATGGATTAACAAATTGTAAGAATTTCGTGAATAATTAGTCTCTTCATGATAGCGAGTGAATTTATTAATCTTTAATTTCTCTATGTGTTATTTCACGTACAGCTAAACGCCTTTGCTAAAAGCACAAACTTACAAGATGTCGCCTCTTTGTACCGATACGAGTATTTCTTGGAAAAGCTTTTTGCTTGGAAAGCCGCGGAGGACAAGCGCAAATATACAAGATATTGTAAAAGTTGTGGAGGTTGTGAATGTTGTGGAAGAACAGAACACGAAGAAATTGTGGAAAACAAGAACGAACATGAAATTATGAACGACGAGAAGGAATGTGACGAAGAAATTAGGCAGAACAAGAATAAATATAACAAAAAAATTGCGAAAAACAAAAACAAATATGTCAACGGAATTTTGTTAGAAAGGGAATACGATACAGTGATGGAATATGAAGATATAGTCTTCATGTTCCGAGAGGTATACTATAACGAGTATATTGAAGTATATTATTTATTTGAAAGCGTTCAAGTTTTTCTTAAAGTGAATCAGTAAAAGGACTTCTGAATTGAATCAGTAAAAAGAGTATGTTAGCGATAAGTAGTGAGTATTCACTAATTTTCAATCAAACACTCTTACTTTACTGCTCTGTCTTCTTTCTCACTGATTTTGAGTGGAAGTAAGATTTCACTATAAAATTTGTAGTGTACATGAGTACACTGTTATACGCTTAATTAAATCCAACTTTTTGCATTTGTGATGATGAAATTAACGTTTTCCGTGCGCTTTGCGATGGCAATTGTCTGTGTTTGCAAAATGCATAGATAATTGAAATAGTCGCTACTATTAACTGATCCTTTCAGCGAGATTTTACTGATTACTTGTAACTGAACGACTAGTATAAGTAGAGCATTTCAGTGAAGAATACACTGATTGTGCTTTAGGCAGAAGAAAAAAGCGCTTATGGATACGACTATGCGTATAGTTTCCTCAAGGATTACTGTGTTATGTTCATGTTTTTCCGTCAACTGGAAAACTTCAGGATGCTAGTCGCGATGATTCAAAACCTGTATGTCGAATACAAAAGGTGTTGCCTGTTATTGCATAACCTGATGGCAAATTACTGTCTGAAAGCGAACAGTTTTTTGCGCGCGCAACTCCGGAGCTCGAGAAAGCTTCGGCGAAGTAAGGAGCATAGCATGCGATGTAAATACAGATACCTAAAGCAGTTGATAGCACGCATTATCGAGGTACGTGCGTTTCCCTTTTAAATTTGAGCTCATTTTGGGACGATTTCATTCAATTCCGACTGAATCAATCGATGATTAAGCAACAGAATTGTCAATGGTCACTTCTGGCTATGTAATTTGTCATCCAATAACAACTAAAAAGTTAATAATTCTTCTGTGTATTTTAGCAAAATGAAACAAGTAACGCTTGATTATTAGCAATTTTAAACACATAAGTTATAAAGAGATTACGAAAGATATAAGTTATAAGGTGATTTTCTTATTTGTTTTAATAACAGTTTTTATTTTTCATCCAGGCAATTTTGTTGGCTGAATAAATCGTCAGTTAGTTCAAAGAATTTAAAAATTATTCTTAGGCCCTTCTTTGCAACTCGCGACAGACTTCATGATGGAACTTGGATTTTCATGTGTCTCGCTGTTTTCAGGAGCGAAACGACATGGCAAGGTACATAGGAACTGCGAGTGATCGTCGTTCTGAAGCAAATGCGAAATAAAGATGTGATCAAACGATTGACGACATCACGTTTCTTGCTAAATGAATCTTTCGTTGACGAAGTGATTTTTTACGTGTCTCTTTATATATTCATTTTGCCCGAAGACAAGAAAGAAGTATATGAAACTCGGTTTGTCCGTCAGTGTGTTTTGCATTTTTAAGTATATATGTTTAACAATATTTATAATGAAGTAATGTTTTATTTTCGTTTCTTGTGTAGAGACACAGAAAAGAAATCATCGATATAAGAATACCTGAACGGGAAATTTTATGAGGGGAAACTCTAATTAATTTTAAAATTTACGACAGTTCAGATGTTTCCATTGCGGTTTCTTTAGATATATTCAGTTTTATGTCAGCTCGCGTTAAACCAGAGCTCGGAATTAGTTGCTCATTTCGGCCGATTCTCGGAAGCTACGCTTTTTATCTTCCCCTTGCCGCGAGCGGGCCACGAAAATGACGTCGCGGCTTCAAGTTTGGAGGCTGGACCGTCACTTTAGTGACCCGCTCGCGGCAAAGGGAAGATAGAAGGCGTAGCTCTTGAGAATCGGCCGAAATGAGCAACTAATTCCGAGTTCTGCGTTAAACTATCACGCTTGCAACTAGAACTAGAGCATTTTTTTTTAAAGTTTGCTACGTCAATTTATTGCAAGCTTTGTCAATAAATCTGTTTTTAGCTGAACTGATGAAATAAAATATAATTGTCTCATTTATTACATCAGTATGCACTAGTTCAGACTAGTTCAGCTAAGAAGAACAGACCTAATGTGTTGTAAGATGTACACAAACAAATAAAGTACGCGTGAATAGAATAGTCGAATTGAGTCGAAGAATCTGAAATGCCGCAAGTTTTCGCGAATTTGTACAATCTTTTTGCGAAATGATTCGCACACGTTCTATCTGATGAAGTTAAGAGAGAGCACATCTAACAGTCAATTACGAGCTGCTGCTTACGTGGTAATCAGTTGGCAGGAACCAAAATGACAATAGACAGTGTTTAAATTTGGACAGTGTTTTTCTGGAACATAAGAGTATAATCAAGATATCTCTAAATAAGAGTATAATCAAGATATCTCTATACTTTTTTCTAATCCTTCGTTGTAATTATAATGTTACACGTGAAGAGTTGAGCTGTCACTTGAACTCTCGCTAAAACCGTTTATCGCGCAAATTTGTAAATAGTGGCTCGTAATCGTGACCATTGTGCTTCCAATTTCATCGGAAGAAATGCGTCCAACACGATTCGCAAGTGTGTGTACTACACGCCCAGTTGCCCAAATTAACACATTCTGTTCAGGTATTCTTATATCAATATATGACTTAGTGTTTTGGTTACACGTGTATATCTCTTATTAATCATATTTAAATCATATTTATAATCTCAACCAAGTCTTCTTCATGATATGTTGTTTGATGCATAATTGTAGAAATATATAAAACAATCAGAGACGCAGTGAGAATCTTCTAATTTCATTGAACTTCTCAAGCATTAGAGTTGCGCAAGACTCGGCTTACAAGAGAGCAGAGTTCATTTATCGAGGAACGCTCACGCGCAGATTGGATAAGCATGCAGATTAATGCACTGGTCACTCTTAGTCGATAACGCATAAATATTAATTTCCATTTGTTCACAAAGGGCTATTCGAAGTGACTAAGTTTCACGTTGGTTGACGCGCAAAGGAGAGGCAACAGATACGCTTTTTATTGCAATTCCAGCGATAAGCATTGATAAGTAATCAGAGTAGATTACGAGCAACAAACAGGTCGGCCAGCAGATGTCGCGAACTCCAAAGAGGCCTCTTCAAGCTCGAGGTCGTTCCCGAGAGCGTATGCGGTCAGTAGCGCGTCGTCGGCGGCGTGTTGTCGTCGTCGTCGTCGTCGTCGATCGTGCGTCGGGGAAGTGTTGTGCCGAGCGTGAACGCGTTATTTTTAGTTGAAAAAGCTCATCGTGCACTTGCATCGACCACATCCAAACGGGAACCGATTTGAAGTGTCAAGCTCGCCGCCAACATGACGGATTCGCGGTGCGGAGATGCCGTGCGTTATTTAACGAGCGAGGAGAGGGAGTACGCGGCAAAGTACCTGAACGAGACGGACGAAAGCAAAGCGAGCGCGGTCGCAGAGATCAGATGTTGGATCCAGGAGAACGATCTCATGCACTCACGCATTGGTAATAGCAACGTTGCTGCGCTACTAAGGACACGGTAAAGTCACGCGGTAAAGTGACTTTCACAGCCGACTAATTGGCATTCACGACTCGCCGGGCGAGTTTTCAGATAGTTTTGTGTTCCTTCAGGGTGTTTTTTGTTTCAGAGATATAACAAAGGTGTAGATCTTATGATTTTGAAATAATCAGCCTCTTCATTTCACTGATTACTAACTCTTTTCTTCTCTCTGTCAACTCTCTGTCTTTATAATTATTATACGTTCGCAGTTTTCTGACTTTGTTATGGTGTAACAATTATATAAAGATACAATTATATAAAGATAAATATTAGCGATTTTTCCAAAGATTTAATAATTTTAGTAACTTTGACTGATTGTACTAATATTTGCACTTACTGATTTAACATATTTTTCAAATAAGAAAATATATTTCCTTAGATTTTCATGAAAACAATTGTTTGTTCTATCGAAATCAAAGAGTTTAGATTTAACTAAATATATTATTGGTACTCACTGAATAAATATATTTTTATTTTTTAGATATTTTTTCTTTCAGTGTATGGTTGTCATACGACAATCTAATAAAATTAAATTAATATAGTAAAATATAGAAAGATATCTTTAAAATAGAAAGGTACTCTCAAAATATGTGCAAGAGATATATGTGAGCATACATATATAACATAAATATAAATTAAATCTGCAAAAAAAAATATATATAAGTAATATGTAAAGTAACATGTAATATGTAACATATAATATGGAATAAGAAATGAGCTTTTGCTCTCTGATAACGAGATGAATTTATGTGTAAGTGCTGTGTCTGCGTCTTTTTTAACGAAAATTTGCATTTGTCTAAGTATATGTAGTTTTGTTTTACATTGTCGTGTTTTATACTGTCGAGCAGACATTATAGCGAAATATCTTCTCGATTGTTCCCTCCACTCTCTCCGAATTCTCTCCACTCTCGGGGGAACGTTTGTTCGTTCACAGACGAGTTCTTCATCTTGCGGTTTCTGCGTGCTTGCAAATTCAACGTCGAGAAAGCCAAGATCAAGATGCGGAACTATTACCAGCAGCGATCTGATCTGCCGGCGTGGTTCGCGAACAGGGATCCACTTCTGCCGGAACTGCAGCAGTTGTTTGATTTGGGGTAACGACCGTTTCCCGCAGCGTAATTATCGCGGGCGTATTCTCTCATGCGGTTGCAAGGATCACGGTTGCAAGAATGTGCGCTCAGCTTTAACCGTGACTCCGTAATTAGGCGACTCTTAATCGCGCTCTTGCATTGTTAAATCACGATCGTGGCTTGAATAATAATTGCGGCTTAAGTGCTCGTATAATTGATAAATTATTGAGCAGGCAATTTTCGTTGATCCTATTGTTCTCGAAGCTTTCTACTGAGAAAAAGAATTTGAAAATTTATTTATAGGATATAAAGTTTATAGGATATAAATTTATTTATAGGATATAAAGTTATAGGATATAAAGTTTATTCACAGCAATGAACTTTATTTCACGGAAATAAGCTTTATTTCATAGAAATAAACTTTATCCTACAAAAGATAAGCTTTATTTCGTAGAACTATACTACTTTATAATATATAAATAACTTTTCAAGTTTCTCAGTGTACTGATTTTACGTACGATACATGACAATTTATTTGGATATTCATTTGATTTCATTTTTTTGTTTTAGAGTATTTCTGCCATTGCGGAAGCTGGACGACCAGGGAAGGATGGTTATCATCGTGCGACCAACTGCGCACGATCCGTATAAGCAGCAGATATCGAACATACTGAAGGTATTGGTAATTCAGAGTTAAAAAACTTCAAAAAGACGTCTTACAGACTAACAAACAGACTCTGAGACAGACTCTAAAAAATGTCTAAAGAAAGATAAGACATCTTCAAGACATCTTTTAGAAAGCTTGTATTGTCTGGCAGTGTAAAGTTCAAAACTCAAATTCAATCAAGAATGATGTAAAATAACATTGCCGTTCGCTCGAGAAGATGTCGCATTTCAGTTTAAACTTTAAATAATCTTAAAAAGAAACAATTAGTTTTATTTTTAGATCTTATGTGTTATCAATCTGTATAAGGGTGAGTAAATCAATATATAACTATTGCTACCTTTGAATTTCTTCAAAACAAAAAACAAAGATGATTTTCAAATCCTCTCTTTCTCTCGAAGTTACTTTACTTAGAAAAGAGATTTACTTCTATAAGATACTTGTTTTCTAAGTAGAATAACTTCGAAAACTTAAAAGTTAATTTAATTCTTTGTTTTGAAGATATACCAAGTGCTGATTCGGGTTATAAAGTGTTAAAATGTCGTGTTAAAATTGTGCACGACTCATAAAAAATATATTCAGTCCAGTGAGACGCAACTCGCGTTGACAATAGGTCAATTCTTTTTCGAAGAACTTTCTAAACTGGTGTACACTGGTGCAATAAATTAGAGTGAAACACGTATATTTTATCTCACTCTAACTTATAGCACCAATATATACTAATTTAAGAAAATTTTCGGAAAGGAACAGACCTGATGTGCTAATTCTCTGACTATTGATCGATTTGCACGCTTTGTCCTGAACATACAAAGTACCTTATAAATTATGTACCATTATATATAAGACCTTATAAATTATGTATTCGGTTTGCGCTTTATTTAAGCGCTTCATGCATTAGCATTCAGCATTTCACTTTACTAGTCACTCTAACCGACCAATTTTTTCAGGTCTGTATGATGGTCTTCGATCTGAGCTCGAGGGACCACGTATCGGGATCTTTGCGCGGCGTCTTCGCGATCATAGATTTGGATGGCGTCGGCCTCGGTCACGCTCTTCAGATGCGTCCCAACATCATAAAGAACCTGGTGCACTCGTGGCAGGGTTGCTGTCCGATCAGGATCCAATCGATTAATTTTGTGAACACACCTGCCTACGTAGACGTAGTCCTGTCGATCTTCAAGCAATTCATGAACGTGAAGCTGAAGCAGAGATTGAGCGTCTACAGACGCGGCGTGAAGAACAATTGCTGCAAGGAGCTGCCACCTGAAATCCTGCCGGTCGAGTACGGCGGCACCGACGGTTCGCTACAGGAATTGAAAGGTACACTATGACAATAATTATAATAACAATAGCGAATATCTACAAAAAATATTATCTTATTCTCAGTGGAAATTCTTTTACATATGGTTTCAAAAGAATTCTTCTAAAACTTGTACAATCATTTATATAAATATCTTTTTACTTGCAAATGGCACGCAAGAGTTTTTGGCATGCGTTTGCTTGCTTCTCACGCCATCAATCCAAGGTTCTATAGTAGTGAGACTAAGAACCTTAAGTAAACATATTTCTCTCGATTTAAAAGAAAAACAGGATAATATCTAGTAGATTTCCGGTTAAAAAATAGTTCATTAAATTTTCATTTCATTAAATTAATTAATATTTTATTTCATTAGAAGACTCTTTCGGTAGGATTTTAGAATATGAAATAACAAGAAATAGCATCTCGAGTTTTTTTTGGGTGTTGGGATATTTTTTTTTGGAAGAATTCTTTTGAGGCCATATATAAAAAGATTTCTCTGCTGCAATAAGATTATACTTTTTTGATGAACAAAAATTATTTTCCAGTAAGTATAACAATCGCGAAAAAAACGTCAGACTCTTCGAATAAAATCATGATAATTCAGATACGAAGCTGTTAAATTAATCACTCGTAAATTCTTGCAGACTATTGGAAGAAAATGGCTGTGGAGAATCGCGACTGGTTTGCAGATGACGAAAGGTACAAAATGCTCTCTAGTGTGAAATAAATTGATTAAATTGAAATTATATAAGTTTGCGGAGTGACGAACAAAGATAACAAATTTATTAAAGCAATAAAACGAAAGTGGTGCTATCATACGTTGTCGTAAGGATATGGAAGTGGGATGTATAAAGCTTTTTAGATATATATATATATATATATATATATATATATATATATATATA